CAGTGTGGCAGATGAAGTGAATGCACGAATCTGCAAGGCTCAGGTCGCGTTAGCTAATTTGAGACACCTACGGCTTCAGGATGGTGTATCCCTGAGACTCAAAGGAAGAACATATCAAGCCGTTTTGTCGCATGGCTGTGAGACTTGGCCTATTCGAGCAGCGGAACTGAGACGCCTCCAGGTGTTCGACAGTTGTTGTCTCAGAACCATAGCTCGCGTGGGTTGGTGTCGGCGAATCCGTAACGAGGCAGTTAGAAACGTGTTTTCGAGTCGGTCGGTGATGATGATCTCTGCAGGCTGGAATGGAGATAACGTGGAGCAAATTAATTTTCTCAGCTTCCGCCTAAAGGATGGTTGTTCATTGACTGATGTCATGCTGTCGGTGATGATGATCTCTGCAGGCTGGAATGGAGATAACGTGGAGCAAATTAATTTTCTCAGCTTCCGCCTAAAGGATGGCTTCTTGTTCATTGGGTCGACATCCACCTCTAAATATATTCCCCGTGGAATAGTAGTGTGTCCCATACTGACAATTCCAGCTCCAGTTAACCTCTCGAACGCTTTGGTGTTAAAAATCTCAATCGTTCAGCCATAGCACCCTTCCGGTGCCCAGTTGCCATGTCACCCGAAGGAAACACGAGTGCTGGGACACTGCTAGGTTGCCAAAGCTTAGACAGGAGCAGTCGAGATGCTGAGGTTCGGTTCAAACCATGGATCTTCCGGTCCGTAAGCTGATGCCCCAACCACAGCTATCTTGAGCTCATTCGGGGGGAGGTTTGCTAAGTTTGCTGAGGCGTTGGACAGACTGCACCACGCCACCGTACAGAACACTGGAGTACCACTACAATCGAGGAACCAAGGTCGACAGAAGAGCAACCAAAAATATTGTACAGGACTGGAAGGCGAATAGCATGGACAAAACTGAGTGCATACAAATGATCCGACCATGATTGGAGTAGCCGATTAGGGAGGAACTGAAAAAGTACGAGTAAATGGTCTGCTAACAGATAGTGAATTAGGACTACTGTTCACACCACGAGTGTCGATAAGTGAATCCGAATTTTCAAGAGAAGCCTGTATTCTGCTTGTTGTGCACAACCATCCTTTAATGCTATGTAGGAGTATCGACAACCCAGGGGCTCCGAAGGATCTGGCGATAGTTGTCCAGGTAGCAGCGTTACTTTTCTACAAACTAAGTTGGTTTAGCTATTCGAGCCACAGAAACCCAAGCGTACTTGAGTGAAAGGTACTGTTCAAGATTAAAAGTGGACGGTGTCCAAGGGAGCCGAGGACTACCGATAAACAACAATGTAGAATGTGATGCAGGCATGGCGTTGAGCCTCACATTTGCTTCTTATGCACATACCACCAAAGTAAGCCCCCGACTATGTGCGACATGTGTGAAAAGGCCTTGACTCAGTCCCAGCAACACGACCTGTTTCCGCTATCCACTTGTTGAACGGGATCTAAGTCAAAAAGTCAAAAGGGAGTAAATCACTCTCGAGAGACCCACGCACGAGAGAAAGTTGCACAACATCCAATGCTTTTTAAATTGCGGGAGATAATTCTGAACGTAATGCAGGCAATTTACGTATCAAATCATTGTATGACCATGATCAATCTGTCTAACAGACTTATGTCTCATGGCCACGTTCGGAGGTAACCATATCGTCGGTATATTCCTGGTGAAGTTTCCTCTCAGCATCCCGGATTCAGTAGACCTCCTGGTGTCCACGTCATCAGCTCTTCAATACTGAAGTAGAACAATGATGGGAAGACTCTGTCGGATAAAATCGTTTAAGGTTATTGCAGAGAGCTCCTGGTACTCTCGCGCCCCAAGGGTAATTCAGGTATGAATAGTTGTCCTCCGAACTGTCGCTTTGTGCCGTGTTGAACAAGCCCAGTTTGAACTGACCGAGAGGAATTTCCCGGGGTCTAGGGAGACCAATATCAGGATTCCCCTGTTGTGACGCTGCTGTTACTCCAAATAGGTTTTGAGGACTGTTGAGTTTGTGCCAGTTGTTCACACATCAAGATTTCGCGCGAAATAACTTATATGGCCGAAAGTTTTTTCTCGAAATCTTCGGTTGCCATCTTGCTGTGCAGTCGTGTTGGAGGTGAATAGTATAATCGAACACCAGTAGTCTTGGACGATCTTAGAGGCAGTCTCAAAATAAATTGGTGTTAAAAAATCGAAGCCACCAATTGGAAGATCCGCACTCCAAACCTGAACTTGACTATTCAGCTGCGTCTCCCTAGGCTGGCAGTATCAGCCATTCGGTTTGCATAATAGCTGTGCACCGAAGAGTTGGTTATACTGAATAGCCTTGACCGCCATCCTTAAGAAAGAGAGGTGGAGGCTTTCGGAACTTGAAGAGGTACACTATAGTAACCTTGGGGCTGAAGCAGGCTTTATCTGCAGCTCGGATTTGCAGACTTTATCTTAGTAGAAAAAATCACATTCTGCAAAATCCTCTCGGTGGATGGACTGGACTACTGGTGTTTCCTAACGAGAACCTTTTGATCCTGTGAACTTGAGCATGCTGTTTTTTTGTCGAGGTGATTGTTGTGTTCGTCATCTCTTCAGTTATGTAGATCGATAAGTCGCAGCTTGTAATTTGATAGAATCATATGAATGGTGTGAAGAAAATTACTAGTGGTATTTCTGTAGATTGTCTCGCATGATGGGGTCTTCGTGATTGTGTGTGGACCCGCCTCGATATGACCGCTAATAAAGTACTTGGAGGGTTAAACACGCCGGGATAACTGTAGCACTACCGAATCTCCTTTCCATACAAATGTTGGTGTTGTCCATATTTTACGCAAAAACCGAAAGGTACTGCTACTGAACTCTCACCCAGGTGGGTGTAAATTGGACGATCGTCAACCTGGTATTTTCATCCGGTTGATTCGGCTCCTTCACCTTCGCAGCACTGCCTACGTATGCAAACCGAATGCATTCTACATCAGAAGCAACTTTATCGCGCCATCCCCCAATTCTACCGAGCTATGCTGTAGAAGGTAGGATAACCACAGAGCATGTAGAAAAGAAAGAAAGCGTTCAGCTGTAGCACCCTTCCGGTGCCTAGCTGCCATGCCACCCGAAGGAAGCACGAGGGATGGGATACTGCCAGGTTGCCCAATCCTAGACAGGGGAAGTCGAGAGGCAGAGGTCGGGTTCGAACCACGGACCTTCCGGTCAGTAAATTCGCGCTCTAACCACTTGGGTCATCTCGCCACAGAGCATGTAACCATCTCGTCTGGCTTAAAGAGGAGCTCATGGACGGGAGGTTCGCGGTTTGAACACACTGTGGGTTTTTGGTTGCTCTGTTTCGAGAGAAGGCTTTTTAGGAGTTCCATATGCACCACTGATTTGATCAATGCTGCTTTGGCGTGGTTGCTCCACCACGAGGGTGGAGTATTGAATCCTAGTCTTGTTCTCTTTAAACCCATCAGCTTCGATATTCGACATATGAAGTGGGCATTGTATCACGCTCTACAAGTTACACTGAGCGTTCCCGAGGCGGTAAAGTATTCTGCTTGCCCATAGTGACAGTGCATCAGTTTCTAGGAGTTTTCTTGTTTTTAAGGACCCTGTCACTGAGCAAGTGGATGCTGTCTGTTGAGCTAACTCAGGAACCACTGTCGATTGAGCCCAGGCTGTTTATGATGCCAAGCATGCCTGTTTGGATAATCTTGTTTGAAGGTTTCAATAGGGAAGAGTTGTAACCTTGTAAGGGGCTCAAATCCAATAGTGGTTGTTTTTGTTCAGACTTTGTTGCGTGAAGAGGTAACCGAGTTCAGGTAGCTTATTGAACCTCACAAAAATGCGGTAACGTACTTCAAGTTACTTCAGTAAACTCTTTCCACTGAGGTGGTTCACTTCACCATTTCAAGAGAATAGTTAAATCTGAATATTCCATTTGAGAAAGTTCTGGTACGGTACGAATAATGCCATTCTTACGTATATGACAAGTCTGTAGTGAGAAGAGAGATTTCGGTGCATGTATGACATTTATTGACATCACATTATCTTGACATATTACGGATAAGCGTTTTCCAGTTTCCTTCATCATTTGGAATTCTTCGCTTCTGAACTTCCAGAATGCCATGTATTGATGGGAAACCATTCCGTAGACAACTCCCACCGGTTGATTTGGATCCGAACGAGTCGGTGTTTTTTTCACCAGTTACTCTGGAGATATTTCGAAACTACGAGTAAGTTTCCGTTGGCGGATGCTAAGATGTCTAGTGTAGTAATTACCCAACTCTGACCTCGCGGCTAGTTGTTCGTTCCTCCGATAGTCTTCGAAGGCTTTGGAACGGCATCCTTCAGTCACTCCGTATTCATCCCCAGCTCAGTCTGCTCGTTTTTGATTCGGATTTTAAGCGGCCAGGTTCAAGGGAAAGTGTAACAATCCTTCTTTAACTTATTTGGGAGTCATCAGCGACTGAGGGGGCGAATCGACCCAGAAATCACTACCCGAAGTACTTGGTTGCAAGAAGATACAGCTCACAACGGCAGAGCGAATTTTTAGACATCTATAATATTTTTCGATTTAATGGTGGCCCCTTTTTGTACATCCTTCGAAATACGATTAACTAACTAAGATAGCCGTTACACCCAACTACATACACGTCTGCTGGTCAAAGCTGGTCATGATTGTGTGTATCACACACACTAGTCTATGATTACTTGAGATCAGAATTTGGTCAGCCCTCTCGACAGATGACACGGTAAAAACACAGTACACCTATTTCTTTTTCTGATTGGCGGAAGAATTGGAGTAGCGGGTCTTCAGAGAGTGTTTTGAGGAAAACGGGGTACGAAATACTCATCTCACCCACTCTCAACAGTAGACGGGCAGACAAGTACCCTAGCACCGTCAGATGTCATGGTGAGTTGTACCTCCGTCTTAAGAGGGGATTCTCTATATGTAGGTTTCTAGCTAGGACGAATAAGGCAACAATACTTCCCTTCATAGGTCTGTCTATTTACTCTTCCCTCAGTCTGGCTCTCAGCTCTTAACCAGACCCTGATCATTTTTCAACTACTCACAAGTAGCTAATGAATAAACTCAGCTAGTTAACCACCAGTAAATTGCGACAGTCCTTGTTCAAATCCTCGTCACGAACGCTAAGGTGAGAGGTTGTTAAGATTTGTGTAGTGCTAGTAGGAACGAAACGGAGCGAGTGGATGTAGAAGAACAATTAGGAGGCAAGGGCGTGTATACGTGAGCGTGAAACTTGTACAGAAGAGAGGAAGGAAACAATCCACTCACAATATCTTGGTCTTGTGCCTGTTGTGATTGATCGTCAGCTCAAGTTTGACCGTATCAGAAGCTTGTTTTGGACTATATCCGGCATAATGATATGCTAGTGAGGTATGCAAGTGGTTTGCTGTTCTTCGAATACCGCCTTGCTTTGGTTCACCGGCTGGTATGCATATCACTATTGTGATGACCACTACAAGATCAGGACATTAACTAAGGCCTTCAAGTTTTTTACTCTATGGTTGGATGCTGTGACCTGCACAGTCATCCTTCACTGTGTCCTCTAAGTACCAGGACAGGGCGTGCCTCCTTGGGCCATTTGTGTTGCTATTACCCTACAGCCGGGGGAATTCCATTGAATATGCTCGCCTGTTGTTCTTTTCTGATTTCGCTCTTTTCGTCTTTTTATTCTGCTTTTCAGTGAGTATTTTGATAGAACTGTTCTCGTGAGCAGCCTCGTTTGGAATTGCCAAATCTGCGGTCGCGGCCAAATGACATTCGTCGACGCCGTTTCCTGTGAGCGCAGCCATGTGGGCACATTTAATCCCTCACTTTCTGCTGGCCTGCTCTATATCATACACAATTCCAGACGTCGACGATTGAGCGAGCTGGTAGAACTGTTATCTGCGTTTGCTAATCATCGGTATTTCATCGGAGAACCAGTATGGAATTGTGTGTTGGGTTACAGGTGTGTTTCTAAGTCCGCTACGCAGGCGTCTTCTTAATATAGTCGCACTTTCAAGGTTTCACTTTGTTTTTCAAACCCCATATTAAGCGCAAAAATTTACAGTCTGCCTCTGGTGCGTGTAGGGCATCGGCTCCTTGGTGGTTTGCACATATTTCTGGTGGTTTATTCATTTCACTGAAGGCCTCCCTTCGCTTTGTCATCATCCATTTTTTGGTCCAGGTCATCTAACTTCCCCGCCTTATCACTTCATGTCTTTTTCCACTTAAGGTCATGTCGCAAATACCCGCTAAACTGATGCGGCGTGATTCAATGTGCAGCTGTCAAGCTTGGAACCTGTATTACTCCACTCTGTGTGTTCGAACTGCTAATGAAATAAGCCGTTGGAGATTTATTGTGTCAGCTGTATGTCTGTTGTGGATACTAAGTTGGTGCCTGCCCATGCTTTACCTGGTGGGTGCCTACGAGATACAATCCGGCAGCAAAAGACATTGAATGGACGACGTTCACATTTGTGGATAGTCAGTTAGGACATCTAAACTCTAATACAACCATGGAACAAGTTAAGATAATTGGTAATGGATCTCAGCTCGAATCACCGCCTGGGACAGCAATAAAAATGATTTTCAGACCCAGCAATGTACTGTAGGTGTTTGATATCCCACTGCAACATGACTTAACTGAAAAAGCGTAGGTAGATGACACGACACGAAGTTACATAATAATGGAGTTTGAACCGATCAATGGAAATATACGATGATATACATTGTAGCAACCTTATGAGTAGTACATTACAAATATACACTGTAGTATGTTTCAATCCCTTTAAAACTGGAAAGTACAGACCGCTTAATGCGACAAGGTCGCCAACGACCGTGAAGTAGTAATATCGTTATGTGAGTCCTTTTGTGGATGGTATAGCCATTCGCACTTTCGCGCATTGGTTATTCGTTTTTAATTATTTTATCTGAGATTGCGACCCGAAAGTTGTAAAGGACTTTGAAATTATAGCCCTATGTTAAAACAAACTTATCATCATTTGCTTATTTCATCTATTATATTACCAGTGATGGTGAACATTGAGACACACTACCTATGATAGCTATTACTTTCAGCTTTTTGAATTAGGGAGTGGGGACAAGTTTTGGGTATTGGTGATGTAGTTATGCTTCCAATGCGTGGACGTAATTGGATACGTGACTGGTACGTTTTCCGGCGCTCGAACATTTCCACGCCCCTTCCTTATCCAGGAAGACTGAAACCACCAACAGTGCTTCCACCGCCAGTTTCTTATAGCTGTGTGGCAGCCGCCCAAAAGGATTGGTACTCTCAGCGATAATGAGGGAATGACGCTAGCTGATCAAAGTGCCTTTTTCACTCAGTTTTCAGGTGCACCAGTTTTTCATGTTCATTCTGAGATTCCTCCTCAATGTGATTTCAGAAAACGCACACCTGCCACGATTCGGCGCGTTTTGTGGGCAGCATCCTTACCCGACGCTGGTCTTGGTCTCGACAGAAAACTCAGTATGCTGCAGGTTAGTGACTATTCTTGCTATTATTCTTATTAATAATAATAATGTCAAAAGCCTGGCATTTATTTATTTATTTATCTGTTGAACCTGTTTATGGTCTGAAATACGAGTGAGTACTGTCAAGTATCTTTTTCGAGGTCTTTTATTCTTCGTTGTTATCCGTTGGGGTGCCTTATCGGTGACTTCTTGCTTTATGTACTTCCTCTTCAGCTTTCTGGTTTGTGCCTGTCACAGAACTTTTCTTATAGCATTGATCATAAATGAGCGTGTGACAGGAAAGGAGTTATTTGGCGCCTACAGGAGTGTTCGTTCTCTACTTTGGAGTTTTCATTAAAGAATTACTCAGTAATGTCGCAATAATGAGTTTTCAATCAGTACACATGTGTCACCACTTATCACTCACCTTAGTTGAGATGCATTACAACCGTAAGCCTTTGGAACCCGTACAGTTCTCTCTACCCAAGCAACCGGCATCCTTGGGACCGGCTGCCGGCCCAACGGAACGGAGAGATGAAAGCATTAAGCCTTACTACTGTAGAGCTAAATCAGGTAGTGTTTTGAACACCGGATAGTGGCGTTAGATTGATATAGGAATAGCTGCTGCTGAAAGAAAGCTGTACATCCTCAATGTAGGGGATGAGTAGTTTTGTTGCACGGGGGGCAAAAGGGGCAATTCAAGACACCATTAATCTTGTGGGTGCAGTCGTCTACGGCCTGTCCTTAGCTTTCCATCTTCGCGGGATGGTTCTTTCCCGCCTTCCATGCAAATTCTCGTCGTCGGCCCTAGGTTGTCTTGGGGACTTTCCTTAGCATACCTACCAGAACTTGAAAGTCAGGCTGAATTTGCTTGTACTCCGTCGTCTTAGAGAAAGCATGGTCTTTCAAAACAATATCATTTGCTTTTGACTTGGGTCGAGTCCATCCTGAGACTGTTACGGTTGGAGAGTTCATACAGTGCGATTACTGCAGAACATCAAACAAACTAAAGTCGACAACGCTATGCACTTACATATGTGTCGTCCTCCAGTACCTTCATCAGGTCAATCCAGGAGGCTGGATAACATCCTTCTTTAGCGGTTGAGAGCTAAAAGTGACACTAAAATCCCCAACAACACCAATTGGGCTCAATAAGCTTCTCACGATACACCATCCTTACAGACTCGGATGAAGGTCAAGGAGAACGTCGAGGTAGTTGGAGCCATTTGGTGCATGATATTGGAAAACCAGGGTAAATGAGGGGACGGGATGGGGACGAGTATACTTTCAACTTAGCCCATGATCATTGGCTTGATTAATGACCCCTGAGAGAGAGAGGTCAAATGTTGCTATTAACTTGAATTCTGGTCTATCCCAGCAGTTTTTTTATCGAATACTCTAACCTAATGTCAATCTGCACAATATCCTATGTGTTTATATACGCCCGATCCAGTTGTGGATCGTAACTCTCAGCGGCTGCTTGATCGCTTGTCTCATTCTGTAAATCCAACCTGCCTTTATCTTCCCGCGTTTCAGTTTGAAATCGACGATTACCTGAGTGAAATCAACATGGAAACTGAAAATGAGAAGATGTTCAGCCCACGTGGACTAGTGTATCATGTGGTGGACGACAAATGTTCTGGTGTTCCGTATCGTCATCAATTTCGGCCCCGGACCATCTTATCATTTACTCGTCTGGAACGCCGTAATCGAGATTTGTTGACAAGGGATCGGATAAAGACGTTTATCAGACACACATGTGAATTAAAAAATGGATTTTTTTCACCAAAGGTAAGCAACGAATCAGCATTGCCTGTTCGTGTTTGCCCTCGGGCGATTTTTAGGCTTTTAATCCTCGATGTCGTGTTCTACCTTCAACTAACTGTCAGTATTTTCATTCCTGGTTGTTAGATCTAACACGTTTTCCATGTTTTCTGCTTATCAGGAATACTTTCAGTATACATCACCGCCAAGAGATTGGACCCTATCTCAATGTGACGGTTTATGCACTCCCATAACACATGGAATATATTAAGTAGTTGAACGCAGTTTTCTTTCCCTCCAAGGTGGGGATTGGAAGAAAGTTATGCTGTTTCCCCGCAAAACACCGCTATTGTGACAGTTGCCCCTGTCGAAGACCCTAGTCGTCCCTAGTCGTCTTTGGGTTTCGGTGCCCTGGTACTGTTAACTGAAACTGACCTCTTCAAACCAAGTCGTAGTTTAAAAAAGTTTCTGTCGTTTCGGTTGATGACTGTTTAAAAGCTATTTGTATTAAATCGAATCTGGATCGATAGTAGTGCCATTTTTCAGAAGGGGTACTCGCAGTGAATGTAATAACCAAAGAGGTGTTGTTTGACGCCTGTTGTGCCAAAGCTTCGGGCGTCACTGATTCTCTGTCGTCTTACGGTGGCACGCGAAACCTTGACTCGTGAGAGTCAAGCGGGATTTCGACGGCTGATGAGAGCCTTGTCGACCTGGAGTACGCAAATGACATCACCCACATCTTTGAAGACCAAAGCGAAGCACAAGCTCTGTTGAATAAACTGACCACCGTCGTACGATATTTTGGCATGCGCCTCGCACCTTCAAAGTGAAAAGTCATGCTTCAGAACGTGTCATCTGCGAACTTATCCCTTACAATTAAAGGAGAATCATTGGAGATTGTGGAAAACTTTACATACCTCGGTAGTTGTATCAGCTCTGACGGAAGTGTGTCTGATGAAGTCAGTAAAAAGCGTTCAGCTGTAGCACCCTTCCGGTGCCTAACTGCCATGCCACCCGAAGGAAGCACGAGGGCTAGGATACTGCCAGGTTGCCCAAGCCTAGACAGGGGAAGTCGAGTGGCGGAGGTCGGATTCGAACCACGAACCTTCCGGTCAGTAAATTCGCGCTCTAACCACTTGGGCTATCTCGCCCCTGAAGTCAGTGCAAGAATCTCAAAGGCTCGAATCACGTTTGCTAATTGGCGTCACCTGTGGCGTCAAAAAGGCATCTCACTAGATCGTATGTACCAGGCTACAGTAAGGGCTGTGTTCTATGGGTGCTAGACATGACGTCTGTGGACAGATGATGTGAGGCTTCTTCAGGTTTTCGAAGCGTGGCTGGTTGTGGATGGCATCAGCGTGTCAGTAACGAGGCGGTTAGAAAACCGGTATTTGGTTGTGCTGCAGGCACCTCAATTCGGGGAAACATCCAGCATCATCGACTACGATGGCTCGGTCATGTGCTACGCATGCCGAAACACCGTTCAACGAGACTAGTGTTGTTCGCCGTGCCTCAGAATGGTGCAGAGTGCGAGGTGGACAACGTGTGACTTGACAGAAAGGCGTGAAAGAGATCACGAAGAGTCTGGGTGTTGTTGGTGTTGTGCGCCCTCTATGATAGGGTCCCTGTGACTCCGTCTGTGCTTGGCTGGAGACGCTGCAAGAAATGGCGGCTAATCGATGTAGGTGGCGTTCGTGCTGTCAGTTTCTTTCCAGATTGTCTGATTAAGCGGTTGGAGGTGTGGGCACCTCAGAATGTTTGACATAGACCAGCACTAGTTCCCCTCCCTCACCCACTCTTTTTCACTTCTCTTCACTGTAGGGCTTTAAATATAATTGTATATGCATCGTATATGTATCTTGTGGCTGGTGGCATCTTTATACAAACATAGAGCGAAAGAAATTCTTCAGGAATCTTCAGAAAACAATCATTCTTTACCTTCTGATATAGTGTGTCACTGCATCTGCTGAATGGATTGGAGCTTACTTTAGTGCGGCGGTTTGTGCACCCCAGCAACCCATTAAGTTGCATTGAGGGATGTTCGGGCAGCTTCTACCAAACCTATCCCAACCCAGGTTGATCCCTGGGTTAACGTCTGACAAACGATCTCTTTGTTGTCCATACCGTGGGTTGAAACACCTGCAACAACTCATTCCTTAAAGAGTGGACTACTGTGCTATTCTCGCGCTGCCCACCACTCTTTCGGTCAGGATCTTGACAGGAGACTAGTTGAGTGCTTTGACAGTTCTATAGTTTATCTTTGGCTATCCAAACAGTGTCTCAGTTCGTCTACTACTGTGACCTGTTCACAAATTTCTCACCTAACCCGCTTCTGGTTTGCGTTTTTATCTCTCCTTTTAGGCTTGTGTTATGCGTCAGTTCAGTCTTTCTCCCTACGGACCAGTTACATGGGTCGACTTGTTCCTTCCTCCTGAACCAAACTGGGAGGAAGTGGCGAAACGATTGCCCAGTAAGTTTTGAGCATGCGCCTCCGTTAGTCGCGTTGTTACCTCAGCTTCACCCTCTGTTTTTCCGTTTTCTCGGAATGCAGACGCGGTCCTTGATTAGCAGCTTACTGCAAGTTTGTTGTGCTGTACTGTAAACAGGTTTTGGATGTGGATTACGATGAATTCCCGATTCGGTGACCACCTTAGGTCAGTCCCGTCAAATGGTCGCAAAAGTTGAGCAAAATTTGTCCCTATGTTCTCAGCTACATTAGTACTTATTTACAGTCCATGGTTGAACGTAAACTAAATACAAGTTTATCTGCCGGATAGCTTCAGAACGTATTACAGTTGTAAGGATGTGTCGTTACCTTGTATACCCACAGGATGTCTCAACAGATGTACGGCGCTTCTTGGCGAGCTGTTTGGGCATGACATCCAAATGTATACAAATCATAACAACGGGTCTTAGCCTGAAAGTTTCTCTTCATCTTTTGTGTGTTCATCATATTTCTTCACAGAAACACCAACGTCGATTATTGTTGCTTCAACGTGACACCGACGTGTTTTTTTACTTGGGCCAGGGCCTTTCACACAAAAGAAAACCGGAAGTGGTGGGGCCATAGTGGCAACTTGTCATAAGTATTCGATTTGTCTACAAATACAACACCAAATCAGTCTGCAGAAAAAAACGTTCAACCGACATGTCAGCGCCGCGAAATTGTAGGACGCAAGGACATCTCGAAGGACATGTGTGAAACTATTGAAAGGAGGAAGCTTCAGTCCCCTTAGGGTGCAAGAATTTGTTATAAAATTTATATGCTCTTGACCGGAAAGATTCATTTCCTTGATCTTTCGATTACATTAGTCTGGACTCATTCGTTCAAGCAAACTATCGACTCCCATTTGTATACTGACAAAACGACGGAGCGGAGTGGTAAATTAAATAAGCGCAATTATTTTTCCCGAGTACGCTTAGTTTCTACAGAACCCGAGTCCTGTTTGCGTTTGCCATAAGGATTGCTACGCGGCGCAATCCACGTGAGTGTGCATCGGCGAAACATCGGTGTTGAACATTGTTGTTTTGCTGTCGATGATGCTACTTGCCCGACTAAGCCATTGCGACAGCCTAACCCTTGGTGGTCTTCAGCTTACCGTTCCACCCATCAGTGTGTACCAAACGGCACAAAATTATGTAATAAAATGGAGTGCAATTATCTGGGCTGTGTTCGCATAACAAATCACTGAAGTGTTCGCAATGTCACACCACAGCAAACTTTCCAAAAGCCTGCGAATATAGACTTTCCTTAGCAGTGATTCAGGGCTCTAACGAGGGGTGATAGAATCTACTGAAGGGGAACGGTAACGGCATTGGGGATTTGTTTACTGTCCTGTATAGATGTGTTCAAACGGCTTGGCTGTTCTGCTGACTCAGGTTACCGCGCACACACTATCCACACTGCATTATCATGCATGTTCACTTACATGGACCCACAGACTGTTTGTTTTATGCGTCCAAACAAAGCTAACGTAAGCCTGAGCCCGTCCGCTGCTCACTGATGTAGCCTGTTGTCAAAACCTGGATAATAGCGATTTGGCCTATCCCACGTTTCGTGGAATAAGCCTCTCCGAGAACATTATCAGTGTCCTGCGTTACGTTGGAATGAAATCCATTCAGCATTAGTTGATCAAGTTTGTGACATTTGGAGAACAAGTTATTTCCAAAGTTTTATCAAGGCTTTTGTGAATGCTATCCTGAATTGTGACAGAAGTCATTCTTTCTCTACTTGCCTTTTTAACACCATACTTGATGGAGACTCCTCTGAATGCAATCAGCACTATTCTTCCCAACGTTTTAGTCAGACTTCCTATTTCGGAGCTTTTTCGTTTTTCGGTGGAACTCAGATGACGTTAGTCTACGAAGCTCATTGGGCGTGCACTTTACATCACTGATCCGCTTCAGTATTGTTGTGCACGTAGTATATGCGAAATATATGTAAGAGTCAGGATAGGCGGGAGATGGTAATGCATGGGTAAATGATAAGCGAAGACCTGAAGAACACTGCATTAGTCTTTGTGGCGAGATGAGAAGCCCCAATTAAAAACAAGACCTCATTTGAACAGGTCAGCATCATAACCTACCAGAGGATGGTGTATGGCCGGTTTGCCATACAGTTGTCCAGTGAAAATGGCGTTTCGTCATTCCATGCAGCCTGTCTACGAATACGGGCCACCCCTTTTTCTGTCACACCCACTGTAAAGTAGCCAACATTCCCCTAGTAAAGTGAAATGTGTGTTAATGGGCCTTTTATTTATGGAGTTTTCATAAGTACATCCAAACAATCACATTTTAGTTGCCTTCACTTGCCAGCAACAACATAATTATGTTGTTTACTCGGGGACTGAGAAAGACTCAGGTGAGACAACCATCCCATTTCAGTCTTTTTATATTGAGGATTTGTTTTGGGATCAGCTGGGCATAGTTGTTTACGCTGTTGCTTCCTCGGCTTACCTTTCTGCAGTGATAATGGACATTGATAGACCGCTCTCCTGGAAGTGGACTCAAGCTGGAACAATGTCCAATGTGGACTGTAGTCAGCGTTCAGTCACACAGCACCAGCCAGGCTCCAACCGGTCAGCCCGCGCAAGTTCACACACACGGAAGCAGATGTTAGGCAGCCGGAATTTTCGTTTTGTTTCAGACGCTGGACATTCTTCCACAGCGCCCTTAGGATCGCCTGACCTGTCAAGTAGGAATTCGCTGTCTTTTTACCTAGGAATTTTGCATATGCAGTTTCCTTCTTGAACTTTTTTTGGCCACCGTGTTTTATGGTAGGCTTCTTGGCCGTCATGCTGGGAATATCAATCGTTTGGTGTGTTGTTCTTCCGAAATCAGAGACCGGCAGCGTAGGTCAGGGCTGCCAGACATTTGAGCCCCTTTCTTGGATTAGGAATCACACCTCCCAGATATTCACGATTTAAACATCGTTTGGAGCTAACATGCAGTAGTTGCCTTCCGAAATGAGTTAGTACAGAGTAACTTAGTCGGAGTGACGGGGTCAAACACACGAAAGGTGAACTATTTGTGTATCTCTCGGCAACCATAATTTAGATGCATATCTCCGGCTTGACAAGGTAAACAGACATCATAAATCACCCTACCACACTTTGCTCAGACCTTTCCCGCGTGACATCTCCCCACCTTCACAGATGTGCCGTTGGTTTAGGCTCACCATTGACTGCCATCAACTGCCACACGACACTAAATTGAACAGATTTCGGGTTGAGCAGTAGTCCGATCCCTAAGTTGTGAGACGAATTTTCCCAGTTCTGCTAAGGGCCACGCTTATGGCTCGAAATCATATCGCCTGTTTTTCACCATTTTTATCCTTATCCGGTTTAGGACGCACGGATTGTCAAGATTAGGTGTTTGCCTGCCGCAGCATACGGCGAAATTTCGCCGAAATTTTATTAGCCGGAATGCAGGATGAACATTCAACCAACTTTTGTTCCTCACTGTCCTCACTGATTTCGTAACTAATTGAGTACCATGGGGCGCAGTAGGTTGAAACCTTGTCTTGCACACAGCCTGTTTATTAACTAATTCTTTCCTCTCACCCCCATGCTTGACTGGCGTTTTCAGCCTTTGATCCAAGTTCAAATCGGTTCACCGAGCATTGGGAACGTCTGGGATTGGAGCGCGAATGGGGCGCAGTACGCCTTAGTGAAGATCTTGATCTATCCGACTTGGTTCCACTGCCGGACTTCCCTGAGGTACATCTTGGTAGATATTGGCCTGCTCGTTTTTCTATCCTTCGATTTTCGCCTGTTCACCCTGTTTCTTGTCTTTTCGTCGATAGTTCACATCATCCATCGCGCCGGAAGACATCGGTTCCACTATTCAACTTTTTGAATTCCTCAATGTGTTTGGCGTACATTTGGATCTGTTTTTTCCCAACGAGACTCCTCCGGACTGCCGTTGGATTAGCACGTCTTCTGGTGCTGAACAAGATTCCACTACCTCCACTTCTCTCCCATGGTCTACTCTGGTCAGTAGTTTAACTGAATCAGATCCAACCGGTCCGCTGGCTGACCTGTTCATCAGTCTTCTGTGCGCCATTCGAAAACTTGATGTGGGTCGCTTGTGATTTTTCTGACTGCGGGAATTTACACTACTTTAATTGGTTTTGGCTCTTCCGCATTAATTGGCTTCCACTGAGGAAACACATTCAGGCGTCCCACACCGCAAATCTGCACGCAAGCTTAGTATGCACATTCAGACCGTGTTCAAAATGACGCGGTTCACGTATCTACGCTTGTGTTCGCTTCTCTTTGTCATCTCATGAGAAGGAATTTGCTGTCCACTTACTTTCAAATTAGGGTGGTAGACTATCACTCCAGAAGCAATTCGCTCCAACTAACTGAACGTCAATGTCGATTGGACGAATGCGTCATTGGTCGGCTTCGGGTCATACAAAGCCATGGTCCAGTTGGCCAGAATGTGAGCCAATCAGGCTCGGAGGTTTCTACTCAGTGCTTCTCACCTCAACCCTGTGGAAAACCTTGTGGTGACCCAGTAATTGCAGTTTTAGCAATTTTTCTTGGTCTCAAGCTATCACGCCTTTTGTCATACCATAGTAGCTGGGACAACAAGCTATGGGCCAACGTGAGAGTTGCAATGCCGTATGCATTACTCATCGCCTTCCAGAGAGGAGAGGTCACTGGTCACGTCCAGTCCACGGTTACGCAGTGCTTCTCGGCTTTTCAGCTTACATTCACTCCGCTTACAAGACGCAATATCGGTCCAAGTCACTCTGAACAGTGATTATAAAAGGACATTATACATTACCCGTTCAACGAACATGCATAAATGGCGGCTATCCACTAAATGACATTTGTAAGGCATCACCGGCACCATGCTGCAACACGGTGAGTTCGGTGTCCTCTTTTCTTAGAAAGGAACAACTACAATTAGCTTCAAATTGGCGTTACTCGCCAGCATCGAGCCTATAGATGTAGTTCCAATTTTATCCAACTTTGGCGTGCTGTGTTCACCCAAGCATTCCAGCTTAGCGGCTTACCTGATAATGAGCAATGATCAGTCGGAATAAAGAGGATGACTATCAAACAATGGTGTACTTTCAGTCGCGTGCGCACACTATCGCCAAGACAGCATTGAGGATATGTATATGAATTGCTGCATATTTGCCGTATCCACCATTTTGGTTTGCAGACGGCGGCAACTCAGATAGGTCAACCCAGAGAGAACTTCACCATTATAACAGCCATCAGCGTCGCTGTCCCGTCGTTGTACGTTTCGCCAAATTCGATTCATGAGTACCGATTAAAACAGTTTGTCAGATTCGGAAGTGATGTAGTAATGGATTCTAGAAAATCTAGTTGCGTTGTTGAGTGGCTTGGACCTATTCGAAGAAGGTTGAATCCCCCCTTAGAATGAATTACTCGCCCGTGAGGACGTTCGTTATAGTTTCCGTCCATGCTTCTTTTAAAGCCGTGGTTCCCTCAGTCTTCAATTAACCGGGTGTGAGAATATTTGAGTTATATATTGCTCGCTGTGCCCAAAAATCAAGCGTTTACCGTCTCAGAAATAACGGAATGATGTGAATGAGTCTCTTATTACTGGGAACATCGATATCTTCTTGAAAAGTCATCACCACTTGGCCACAACCACAATATTAGCCCACCGTGATTCTGTGCCAGTTGCTCTTGCTCAATTTGTCATGATCATTTTCCTCCCATCCTTTCACAGCCAGTTCCAACTCTGCTCATTTCTTTAGGTTGATGCAAGCGCAAAGCAGATGGGACCGACAGTTCTTGCTGCTACGTACGCTGCTGCAGCGGCCGTAGCTTCCGCTGAAGCGGGCGTGAACTTCGGCTCTTTTACAATTGGTCACGCGTCTGACTACGAGGAGGTCTACGAAGAGCTTATATCAGGTGACGATGGCAAGGAAGTTCTACGTGTACTCGGCGAAGCCGGAGCAGCCACGCGCCTAAACGAATTGGTCGGTATTCCCAGTTTGGCAAGTAATCAAGCAGCTGGTAAGGCTGGCATGGTGATTCGGAACCTTGAGGAACTCGTATTGGATAATAGTGCTGCGTCAAAGGAGGACCAACAAGCCCCGGTCACACTGAGTCGTAACAGCACGGCGCGTGCCGCCACAATGGCGATATTGGCTGGTGCAACTTCATTGTGTCCTTTGGACCGAGCAGGTCTTTCGAAAGCGTTGTGGCTGCACATCAAAAGTTCACCTGCCCGGATTTCTAGTTGGCGAGGTCAAACTCGCGGTATTATACGGCCATTGGACGACCCGGCCTTCATCCTTGCGCGGGATTCGCCTGAACTGTTGGACAAGTTAAATACTGGTACGTGTTTTACTGTGATTTCATTCTTCGGGTTCTCACAAGTTTGGCTTTCAAGTCCCGAAATTAAATGTTTTTTCAGTACTTTCGATAATTACGGGATATGTAAAATTCATATCTACAAGGTTCTTGTTTGAACAGTCCTTCTGTCCTGGTACGATTGTTATGTTTTTTTGCCCAAGGTGTGTCCAGCATGTGCTAGAGAGATGGTAGAAAACGCTCGCTTCGCATATGTCAAATATCTGGATTTTTTAGCCCCACCGGTCCGGGGTCACGTGCGACCGTTCAGCGCCAATGAAAGAGAAAGTCAGGTTCAGTGTCCTCTTCTTCTGGTGTGGACTAAACGGAATACACCCACATAAGCAGGGGTTAGACTTCTCAAACGGGAGTGAATACTACAAGTTCCTGACGAACTGGGGGCTACTTTGTTTCGCTTTCCTAGAGATAGAAGTGTGAACCATTTTCACTTCTAATTACTGGAAATTGTGAGCTCATATTGTAACTTTGTATTCTTTTTCACCCACCCAGTGTCTGTCTACGAATTGACCGTCCGTGAAAAGCTCCAGCTGCTGTCGTGTTTGATGGATCAGCTCCTACTCTATTCGCACACACGTGATCGTTTCGAACATAGCTTTAATCGCCTCCGCCTACTTCGTAGCCAGTTACGTTCAGCAGACGCAGTGGACGAGACCGAACCTGAGCAGACTGCTGGAACATCGAAATCGGGGCAGACCTCTTCCAAAGCAAAACCTGAAAACTCCGACGACGATAACCGGTCTTCATCTGTACGTGAACGACCCAAAAACGTTTACTCTAATCGTCCATCTAGCCGTGGTGGAGATTCTGACGTTCCTAGGAGCAAGTCATCTCAAACGTCTGTTGAGAACGTTTCGAGGTATGTAGAAACGGGGCTTGGTTATCTTTTACACGCCACGTGTGACGTATTATGTTATCATTGTGGACGTCACTGCCAGGAAACTATTAGTCAGTATCGGAACACCCTTTATCGACGGATATAGAAAACCCTATCTGAAAGTGTCACTGAAAGGGTAGCTGAAACCGTGAATTTGTGCAAACTAGTCGTTAGGCTACATAAGGATTAATTTAACAATTGTGTTGAAGCATCCATTTTGCTCCGTGGAGAAATTCTCTTTCTGACACGTCACCAGGTGATGACTAATGCGTGTAGTAGATGTGGTCGAAATGAATGATTTATCCAGCCCGGACTTGATGACGAATAGCCGAGGAGCATTTTGCAGCTATTTCATCCTCTATCATCATCACCCGTGTTCGGAATCATCACCAGTGCGCATCCCGCGAATCTCCAGAGGGACTCGAACTTGCACTATTCCGGCCATCGGTTGAAGGTTAAACTGTTCGGTTACGAGCGGCCGACCAGCAGTGTACTGACTCGCATTCAGTGCCATTCTTCCTTCATTCAGGAAATTCGCGTCAAGTGGGCACTTGTTGGTTAGCTCTTCAAGTGGCGACTTCACGCATATTAGGTCCACTAGTCGTGTAAATTCTTCCTAAGTAGTAGCGAAGTTTGTGGACCTTGCTTTCTCATCATCCTATACAACCTTCCTGCTGTTCCGGCGCAGTTATGCTGGTTAGTCAACGCTAAAGAGGGAAACACTGGGCTCATGTATCGCTTTTATCGGAGCCCGTCAGCAATACATCTATGGCCGTACCGCAATCTGAACCTTGGGTATATGACATTATCATCATTCATTGGAAAATCCTCTCATCGTTTTTGATAGTATGAGTAGATTCGAAGATTTCATTCGAGGTTTTGTCTTGTAGGTGAATGCGATTTTGTACAGGGAATCGTCGAACGCTTCAGTAATTAAATACTAACCTGAGGGTCTGGGGTTCCAGTCCCACCCTGGGAATTCGTCAGAGGAGCACTGTTGACGATTCCCAACAAAGATGAAACCGCTGTATGCTGCTTTTTGGCATCATCAGCATCATCATCATCAACGACTGCATGACAGTGTTCAACACCAATGCTTCACTGCCGCACAACCATGACTTATTTGAAAGCCTTATTGTAAAGAAAAGAATAAGGGTGGATGGGGGAGGGACTTAGTGCTAGCTTAACACAATCATTCCGAGGTGCCTACACCTCCAGACACTCACTCAGGCAATCTGGACAGAAACTGACAACAAGAACGCCACTGACATGGATTGGCAGCCATATCTTGTAGTGTCTCCAACCAGGCTCAGTGAGGATCACGCGGTCCCCATCCTGGAAGGCGAGTAGCATAGATTTCACCAGATGGAATATCGGGTTTTCGAGAGTTTTGCTGGTCACAGAATAGTCGCAGGGGGGCTGATGTCTTTATTAGACCTCCTGAAGCGGGTGCAGACTAATTCTACCTATCTTCTGCATCTGCTGCTCAGCTGGATGATTTCGCCCGTTGACTTGTTCAGACAACCGTCTCACCACCGACGGATGGTTGTTCATCTTACTTTTAGTTACAGGTCTGGTTTCATTTCCTCTGTATTTACAGCCTATTTCTTTCGCATCTGTGCTATTGCTCCAGCTTTCCACTTGCTCCAGGCTTTTTATTCTTCTTTTTAGTGAGATGCCCTGCGCCACTGTGCAAACTTCCGTGAAACCCAATCTTTTGGTATTGGATAGTCCGGACGCAGATCTATTGCAGTCCGTTAAAACTTTACGAGCACTGATGGAGGCATCACGAGGTTGCTGCTTACTTCCATTAGGACAAGATCGCTTCTATCGGTGAGCTTATCATTTATTATTACTCATCTCAGCTTGTCAGCCATGATTAAAAAGAGCCAGATGAAGCTGGGTTATAATCTGGCGATTACCAATCAAATGTTTAGGTTTTTCTTTGAACCGAAGAGATTATATCGCTTCGGTTGGTGATACAACGTTCGCAGTCAAATTCCAAGGTCACTTCATATGCTAGCGACCAATGCTTTCCTGTACAGTAACTGAATTCCTATGGCCATCTATGTTTCCGGCACAACTTTTGTGATTGTGTTCACCGAAATCGGAAACCTGAATGATTATAGCCAAGACGTCAACTACTTGCAGAATTTTAAATTGTACAGGACCAAAGTTTCTTCCAAGCTATGTACTAGGTGCTAGCTTTTAGGGAGCCTCGCGACAGCGGAGAGCCTAACCTATATGCATTATTGGTCTTTCTTTGAATACACCGAATCATACCCAGCTTCAGCTGAATAGAATACCGTTAAATCTGAACGAAAAGACCTACTTCGATGTTCATGTCATCCAGAGTCCTAACTACTCTCTCCTACTTGGTCCGTATAACCAATGCAGCGTTCAGGGTCCTTTGCCTTTCATAGGAAATACTACTAGTTAGGATCGCTGGTCGATATGACCTATTTTCAGTTGTTGCCCGACGAACGTAACGCCCTCACAACAGCGCGTGAGACTAGTCAGTGCAGTGTTGTTTCAAACAGCTGTCCACTTTTGCTGGCAGACTCCTACAGCACTTCTCTCAGCGATGGCGTATTGCGTAGAAAGAACTGTCATATCAATGCAATTGTGTGACGAGAATCAGGATCAGAGCTCAGAGAATATGTGACGTCACTTGTCGCAAAATGGTGGGTAGTGAATGTGCCTTTCCACAGGCTGTACAGTATCCATGTTCCACGAGAAGTAGATTAAGATGTAGACAAGTCCCAGAAAATGGGGACATGTACATCCCCATATCTGTGCTTCAAATTTTATGGTTGGATTCGACAGGATTATCCTACTTTACACGACGGACGTTGAATCGGTTGACGCATTTGTTTTTCAAAATTACTACCACCAGCACAGTCCTTGGGCAATGGTTACTTCACGTAACTCAAGCATTCTTTGTACAGGTTAAATACATCCTCTTTTTTCATTTTGTAGGCACTACTGGTACGTACCGTCCCTATCGTCAATTCTTATTGAAGATGCTCCGTTGTCGTGTGGACAGGATGAACTTAAAATGGCCCGTCGCCAGTTTTCTTCCTTCTTTCCAGAAGCAGCGGAGCGCCTGGGGCTATACTCATTTATCAGTGCAGCGCTAAAGCTCCGGGAATGTGTGAAGCGGTGGTCCACTGGTAAAATACCTATTTCTGATCGTGAGAAGCTGACTTATCGACTGGCCTCCCGAATACCTAAGGATGTCGTCTTGGATATCAATCAGCTTCGATTGCTTGTCAGACCGGTAAATACGCTGTTCTTTTTATCATTGCCTAACCATTAGTTCTGGTTGAAGCTCGTCCACAACACATCTTCCATACCAGGATTTGAACTCCGGACATGGTGGTTGAACGTGTTGCCACTGCTCCGCACCGAACGCACTCGAATTATCACATATGTACTGGCGAACTTGTTCACGATCGGGGAATTCGATGGGTTCACAGGACCTCGTCGATGAACAATTTATGCTGTTTATAAGGGCATAGGGTCTCTTCAGGTTTACAATCTTGCGTGGAGTTGTCGTGCTCAGTCTAGGAGGTGATGAGGGTGTTCATGGAAAATGTTTGATCGAAACTGACTGACGTCTTTTCTGCCTTGCAAGTCGGATCAGATTGTCTTGACCGTGATCCTCACAGGGACCACGATATTCACGGCTTTATCTTCTTTGTGTATGAGCCCAGCCAACTTAAGGCTATAGAAGCGCTCAGATCTCATCGTGTGTTTTGTTGCTGATGATTGCCTCTCAAACACTCAGTGGTTTGCTTTGGGATACTGCCACTGTATATCTACACGAAACAAATTATTCTTGAAGACAGGCTGGAAGTTCACCGTGTTTTTCACACGGTCTGTGGGCACTAGCCACCAGAGGTGTTTCTATCCATAAAAAAAGAAGGGAACCTAGTTATGGCTTGGCAATTCGTCCACCAATTATCAAAGGCTCCTCACTGCTCTCCTGGCTCTCCAGTTTGGGGGTCGGAACGGATCCGTATGAGAAAGAGTAGAAGTTAGGAGCGGAGTCACAATGACTATGATGCTTGATGGCCAACTGATTTCGTCGTCTCACCATTTGACCCATCGTTAGCATCGCAGTGTTTAGCCATGTCTTCCTCCATTTCAGGACATGGCCGTGGGGTTACGCTCAGTACTTTTGCGCTGTCATGTTTTTAGCTGTTACGCTTGCCTTCGGCATTTATCATACTACGATACTTAAATAATATTGAAGAACCAACCTCCCGTAAGTGGTAGGGTTGTTTTGACTCCTCGTGGTTCCCCAACGAATCTCCTCCGAGGCCTATCTTTCCATGACTTAATCACTTACCAGGGTTCTCTCACCGTTGCCAGACCATGAGTATCTGGTTGGTTTGGGCACTGATGAACGTATTTCGCGGTCATCGGGATGGCCGAGCCTCGGTTAGCTCAGCAGTTACGGCATGAATTTACTCACCTAAAGGTCCATGGTTCGATTCCAATCCGGGCATCTCGGCTACTCTTGATTAATCTTGGGCGACCTGGCAATGTTTTATTCGGGTTGCACGACAGGTAGGTGCCGAAAGGGTATTACAGCTGAACGATTATTGTTTGGTATCAGGTTTGAACACTACACACATTTTGAGAGTGACTACCACCCTGTGCTCTGACAGTCCTCACAATCGTCGTGTCAGAAGCACTCTTCTCCAAGAAAAACTAGAGGGCGTTTTTATCTGAGTCGGGAATCGTTGAGTTGGGGGAGTCACCGAAACAGTGGTAGTAGCGGGTTGTTTTTGTGGGTCTAACAAACAAGAAAAGTCCCCAACATTGTCCTTACTGTTCACAGAACTTTCATCAGTCGACTCGCTAAATGGTGGACAAAGTGACCGATTTAGTCAGCTGTACTGGAATCGCTCTTGTGAAGTAGCCTTGATTGTCTTTTTTGCATCTCGTTTTATCTCCTAGTGGTTAATGAAGTCGCTTCTGTTCATTTGTGATTCTGTTCCTCCTAGTCAACCGATTGTGCTTATTTGCATTCGCTGTAGGGACGGCTCCTAGAGTCTGATATTGCCAGACAGAATTCCGGACCAGCAGTTGTTCAGCTGTCCAATTTGTTGCGTACGCGCGTGAATAACGCCGGCTGCAATCAGGTGCGTTGGTCCGTTGTGACTCTATTGCCGGGACCTCCTTCGGAGTCTGTTGATTTGGAGAAATCTGTGTCACTGGGCAACTCGGCACTACATATTCAGTCTTCATCTTGTCCTGGTGAGACGAAATCGGATAACGGTTTGTATGCATCCGAGCCGTCAGACGTAAGGATCAAACCTGAGGAATGCAGTTCTCAGGCCACCCAACTCAGGGGCCACAAACAGTTTGTTGAAAATGATACCGTAGAACCTCGTACCGATTGTGTTGCTTCATCTACTCAGTCGCCTGGGAGCCTCGATTTATGGAATCAAGCCGTGTGGACACTGGACTGTCTAGAGGCCTCGCTAAATCCTCGGGGATTGCGCGAAGCGCATTTACGGAAGACAATAGGTGAACTTCGTCCGTTACTCATCAGGTTACTAGCTGGGAATACGTTTACTAGGCCAACGGAAAAAGATTTATGCAAGGTGAGCGCTCTCCTGTGTATCTGTTATTTAGTGTGATTTAAGTCCCCTCTCTCACCTACCTTTTTTCTATTTCCACACCAATGCTTAAAATATAACTACATTAGCTTAATGGTTGTATGGTAGTGAATCGTCATTGTCAACGCTGATGTTGCTGTCTCTGACGATGATGCATACCACTCATCCTCTCTGGGGACTTTGGAACAGTATGAGGTCTTTTAGAAGGGAACGTTTCTCTCGTGGACGCAATTTCTACAGCGTGGAATCTGTTTGCTACCCGCCCCAAAAAAATGAAACCCCAAGGCCGAATAAGAGAAACTTTGTTATCTGATCTACTCTTTGATAGGGAACACTACGGCGAAAACATTTTTTGTGGCTATCCCATATTTACTAGTCTTTTGTCGCAGCAAACGGTTTTGTCATGATCATCGTTTGATTTGATAATCTAGCTTGCTTGCGCATCACTACCCCATGGGTCGCGTTACAACTGAAGCCAGAACGTAGCTTATGGGAGCGATTACGCCGTATTGATCGAGTTGGCATTTGTTCGTCAACGTGGAATACGTGTCTAGGACGCATCAAAATTTGATTTGCCTTCAACCTGATTGACAGAAGTCATGACTGTCATATGGGTTCACCAGGTTGTCAGTGATACGAAGAATTTAAGGCTACATATTACGCCGAACTTCCAGGCCTTAAGAATGTGCACTGTCCGAGCCTATAATTCCCGCAACTAACTTCAGCGCCACCTGTTACCATACGATGGCCCGGTGTTAACAAGAGTACTATATAGACTGAAAGTTATTCGTGACTGCTGGGAATTGCATGTGTTCTACCTGGAGAATGCACGTTAGCGGCTTTTGGTGATGTTAATGATGGTGGTATAATGTGTCTTTAGTTATGTATCGGGTGTCTTGGGTATTTATGGACTATAGCTCTAATTAATTGAACAGGGTTTATCTTGCAAAGCTTTCTGGCTCCCTCCGATGGAAGCGCTGTCATGTTTAACAACGCCAGATAAAATAGCGCTAACTCCCGACTGGTCAGACTTCCATTTCGAGTTTGTCAATAGGTTTCAACTGTTTTCTTGCTTCCCTGTAGACCACGACACAACTTTCTACACAATATTCGCCGGAGTCTGTCCAGCTCTCGTGGCTAGAAATTTCGTTACGTCGCTTGGCTGCCCGACTTCGTCTCCGGACAGTTATTAACTCTTGCTTAGCGATGGAATGTGTACGTGAGACAGATCAATTGAACGAGACACACACAGACAGCCATCCCAGGTAGGTACCTCTGACGTAATTAATTTACCGGATCTAACTCTATGCCGTACCTTTTGCAGGCAATCTTTGCTGTGTGTACGGTAAACCCTCCTTCACTAACTACTTTTGCTCGGCTGGTTAAATCGTTATTATAATTCTCAGGAAAGTCACTTACATTCCCCATCGCACTCACCGCGCCACAAAGTCATCACACTGCTATCCTTTTACATCAAAAAATTAACCTAAATTCTTGTTGAGAAATGTTAGATTTCACGGAGGAACATAACGTTCGACATCCCTTTCAACTTACATCGTCTAAAGTGACTATCTTCTAACCGAACGTCAGTAATTACCGTGGGAAAGTGAATTACCGTATTTAGTTCATTAATAGGCGTTTTCACTGTGCGATAATTAGTTGGGACTAAATGTTGTTTGTTTCGGACATGTGTTACGCATGCCGAACCATCGTTTGCCAAGGGGAGTGCTGTTTTCCATGCCCAACTCCGAGTGGCGTAAACAGAGAGGTGGCCAACCCTTGACTTGACAGAGGATTATGAAAGAGATCACGAAACGCTTGGGTGGTGTTGGTGCTACTTGCCTTGCAGGGTGGGGACCACGTGATCCTCAGTGTGCCTGGTTGGAGACACTACAAGATATGGTTGCCAACCGATGTCAGTGGCGTTCTTGTTGTCAGTTTCTATCCAGACTGCCTGAGTGAATGTCTGGAGGTGTAGGCACCTCGGAATGATTGTGTTAAGCTAGCAATAAGTCCCCTCCCCGTCCACCTTTCCTCTTTTCTTTACAATAAGGCTTTCAAATAAGTCATGGTTGTACGGCAGTGAAGCATCGGTGTTGAACACTGATGTCATGCTTTCGATGATGATGGTGATGTTATTGTTTGTACTCGGTCACTTCTATCCAGAGAGAATGTCCTTAGCGAGGAAGCGTCGTCTTCTGCTTCTGTGAAGCATGAAGAGCTCCACCACAAGAAATTCCAACCGATTACAAGCAGCTTGGAAACTTCCGCCCGCTTGAAGAAATTGGCCCAACTTTTATTGGCTCTCGGTCATGCAGTCGGCCCGAAGGCCGTTTCTGGGCCCATAAGTGAGTTTTTTCGGAGTCTGTAGAGTTTTCTGAAAACGATTTTAGCATTGTCTATAATTCATTGATGGTATCGCGGCAATGTCTACTTTAGGTCACTTTCGTGCGTGTCAGTTTTCTGGCTTCTATGTAGCTCTCTATACCGGCCAGAAGACGGACGCCAAACGGCTTCTGCCACCCCCACTAATCTATAAAGTCATTCTGAACCGAAGTTGACAGGACCTTGTATTCTGCGTATAGCTAAAGCTCTTAATTTCGGTATCTGTGGGCCAGGTTGTAAGATATTAATCGTTCAGGTGTAACATCCTTTTGGTGCCCAGCTGCCATGCCACCCGAAGGAAGCACGAAGTCTGGGATACTACCAGGTTCCCCAAGCCTAGACAGAGGAAGTCGAGAGGCATAGGTGGGCCTTCCGGTCAGTAAATTCGCTCTCTATCGACTGAACCATCCAAATGCGGCATTTATGGTGATCTTGCCAACAAATAGATCCGGTGCAATCAAGTATTTTCAGCGATACGTGCTCAACATGCAGCTAATACGTAATTCAGTGTTCTATTCCCACTTTAGCCATATGCGAAGCCATTTTGAAATATTGCTCTCACTGATTGCCTAATTTAATTGGATTTATTCTGACCCACATTGGAGTTTGATGATGAGGCAGTAAACGCAATCACTCCACTTTAGTATTTATCTTCATTCTACTGTTTCCGGTAATTATATGAACAGCTCTTCTGCTTCTGTGAAGCATGAAGAGCTCCACCACAAGAAATTCCAACCGATTACAAGCAGCTTGGAAACTTCCGCCCGCTTGAAGAAATTGGCCCAACTTTTATTGGCTCTCGGTCATGCAGTCGGCCCGAAGGCCGTTTCTGGGCCCATAAGTGAGTTTTTTCGGAGTCTGTAGAGTTTTCTGAAAACGATTTTAGCATTGTCTATAATTCATTGATGGTATCGCGGCAATGTCTACTTTAGGTCACTTTCGTGCGTGTCAGTTTTCTGGCTTCTATGTAGCTCTCTATACCGGCCAGAAGACGGACGCCAAACGGCTTCTGCCACCCCCACTAATCTATAAAGTCATTCTGAACCGAAGTTGACAGGACCTTGTATTCTGCGTATAGCTAAAGCTCTTAATTTCGGTATCTGTGGGCCAGGTTGTAAGATATTAATCGTTCAGGTGTAACATCCTTTTGGTGCCCAGCTGCCATGCCACCCGAAGGAAGCACGAAGTCTGGGATACTACCAGGTTCCCCAAGCCTAGACAGAGGAAGTCGAGAGGCATAGGTGGGCCTTCCGGTCAGTAAATTCGCTCTCTATCGACTGAACCATCCAAATGCGGCATTTATGGTGATCTTGCCAACAAATAGATCCGGTGCAATCAAGTATTTTCAGCGATACGTGCTCAACATGCAGCTAATACGTAATTCAGTGTTCTATTCCCACTTTAGCCATATGCGAAGCCATTTTGAAATATTGCTCTCACTGATTGCCTAATTTAATTGGATTTATTCTGACCCACATTGGAGTTTGATGATGAGGCAGTAAACGCAATCACTCCACTTTAGTATTTATCTTCATTCTACTGTTTCCGGTAATTATATGAACAGCTTGTGTTTCCATAAAGGAAACTACTCACAAGGTTGCTGAAAACTCTTCGGCAGCCCACGACCGGTTTCGCCCTTCTTGAGGCTCATCAGGTAGGCGCAGTCCCCGAGTTTCCGTCAACCTTATGTTCTACTTGAACGGTTGAGTCTTTCGTGAAGACCAAATTGATTTGCAAATGAGTGTATTTCTCGAAAAACTTGTGTTTCCCTTTGTCTCCGCAGTTCACTTGATGAAGTAATGGCAAACTGTCTATGCACCTTAGGATTTGATGCTCTAAATGTCACAATGTGACTCAACTGCAGTGCTATTTGGGTACAGAAGAATTACAGTGGAAGTTGTGTGGTTTTTCCACCACATGCCAAACAAAAATCTGCCAGGTGCTGTCTTAACGTTTGTGAACAGCTCATCTCGATCCACGATACAAATAAAACGGCTCGTTTTATTCTGTTGTTCATCTGAACATCTGCATGAATTTGGGCGGAATAACTGAGGCTCAGATTGAGGTTTTGGATAGCAGGGCATATTTGGTTTCGTCACTATTAAAAACTAGCTGAAAGGGAACAGCACAACTATCTGCAGAAAGGGAAAAAAAGACAGTTGTATCACATCATCGAGACCAACCCCTTGTTTGCTTTCTGAAACAATTTCTCAGCTGTGAGGGCATTGCTTTTGCAATCACGTATAAGGCACTCTTCCGGCCTACCTGATGGGCCCCTTAAAGCACTGACATTTACCATTTTATCCAGTAGGAATTAATTTAGTTTTGCCATCCTGATCAATGCAGCTGTCATTTGAGTCTGTTTTTGGGAACACATTGAAATTTCTGGTTAGTGGTCTTTAGCCTGGAGTACAAAACGCTCTGTGTGACGTAATTTGGTCCGCACAGGTCAAGAAAATAGAACCCTGCGTACCGGTCGATATTCCCTACCGTTCGGAGAAATTGCGGCATCTGGTGATTCAATTATAGCATCGCAGTCTTGCTCTGTCCAGTTACCACCACGTACAACCGGATGGCAACGCTGGTGCACACATGTTGAGCAGGTCAACTCCTCCAGCGAACTTCATCTGTTAGCTCGCGCACTGGAACGTGGTGTTCGACGCGCAGCCATCGGTGGACGACGAATTCCGTTCGCCTACTCCACGAAAAAACGTTCGTTACCGAAGGTCCGCTGTACGGCATGTCGGTAAGTTTGGTGAACCGCAGTTAACTATGTTTGACGAATAGCATCGCTAGAACATCTGTTTTATATGGCTAAATATAACGACTCTTCATGTGCTTGCTTCCAGATATAAGATTACTGTCTGTGTTTGAGTTGCTGTCGTTTAAATCCCTGTACCACTCGTTCTCTTGCAATCGACTTTAATAGGGGAAAAGACTAGGCTAGAAACTTCTGAGGAAGCTGCCATGCCAAGTCAAAATGATGTAATCATCGATTAAACCGGGCTTATTCCGTCAACAGTTTCTTGTCTTGTTTCTGGCCTCGTCCGAAACTGAATTAAGCACTGCTGTTCACTTCAGCTTCTCGATACACACCGGTCATTTTCTGGTTTTCGATTACCCCTATCGATGCTGTTATCCCCATTTTTGCGGCAGATACGCACCAAAAGCTTGCTTAGTCTAAGAAATCTATTTTGCACCTTTCAAATTTTTCATGTTGGTTCCCTCCTTTAAACGCACTGCATTTTCAGTCGGATAATCGACTACAGAAACCTGGTCTGATGTTGTGTACCACACCGACAATCGTCGAAGACATATTTGCTTGTTTCGGCGTGGGATTGCCGTTACCGGATGATCGGCGTTCATAATTGTTTTTACAGTAATGGTGAACCCACTTGTATTTCACTCCCCCTGAGGCAACTAGCCTTTCAAATTCCGGTTTCCTTCATACGACCAGTTTCCTACTTTCTGATGGTATAAGTTCGAAGACTATTGTTTCCACTTTAAGATTGCCTGTTTAATGGAAATTGTGAACTGAGATGTTTTTATTGATAAACAAGCAAGCGGTACCCCGTAGCGCATCTGCCCTTGGGTGGTCATTTTTGACGATTGCCGGAAGTTGCTGTAGCGGCGTCACAATGTGCTTTTTCCGAACTTTTCGGCAATTTGAACGAAAGTTTGTAAGCCATTTCAAATTTAGCCTTATATGGCAGCGACGGTGGACGGACTATGGAAGCAGCTGGCCCTGGCAATTCTTTCCATATCATCCTCTGCGTGTTCGACTTTGACTTCTACTGTGCTCTTGGAAGCTGTGGATAGTTCAACGGATGAGGTGTGATCTTCTGACATAGGGGATCATGGTTTTAGACCAACTGCAGCTTTTTGTGGCTGCTTTCCACCCTGGCAGTTCCTCAACGCTCCTTCCTGTTCCACGCCATATGACAGTCGTGCATCGAGTGAGTGCGCAGACTACGATTGCATTCACAAACACCTCCCCAGTTATAGGAATAGTTTCTGAAATACGATTAGAAACAACAAAGTATTCTGAGTAAATTTTGTATCACAGAGTATGATCAAGTTTTCGAAGAGGTTTTGTAACAATCGGTAGATTTATCGGTAGATTTAAATAAATCTACCGATTGTCACCAAACTTTTTCGAAAATGATGACTACCCAATCGGTTTCAAGTATTTTCCACGTGAATGATCAAGTTTTGTTTACCATCAATTATTTTGAGTTTTACACAGATCCCATTTCGTTGATAAACTCCAGTGCTTCCTGTAGAGGTACACCGATACTTCGGTTTTAATATCAAATGTCGCACATAGATTGTCCATATTTTTTTCAAGAGCAACACCTTCCCGTTGCCCTGCTCTTTCACAGGTGGCCACCAGATCCTCAGCCAACCACTCCCCAATTGGTTTCACACCCAGCTGCACACTCAATCCATTTCGGACCCCATACCCCGTTGTCCACATGCGCAGGCTGTTCGGCTCCGTTTCATTTGGATTGCTTGTTAAACAGTAGGTCCCGTGTACACCGTTCCTCGCTCCGATCCCAATCCAACAAGTTACGTCCACCCTCTGCAGTCCAGCTCAAAGGATTAACTGAATCGGATCTACGTATGACTGGATATTGCGGTTTCCACTCCTCACTGAACAGTATCACTGCGGCCCGAATGGAGACATGTGGCGCCAGTGTATACTTGTGTAACGCCTGCTTACGTGTTGCTGGAAAGAAACCTCAATGTGATCTCGCTCCTCATCAGTACGACCATTCTTCCAATGATCAGTTAACCGGAGATGAAGAGTGGGAGACAGATTCAGAGCTATCAAACTCGGAGGTTGAAGAATTTCAGTCAGCTACAGAAAACAAGGTAGTCCAACGTCATATGATATGAGTTGTGAAGTGATTTTTAGTACTAGTTTCAATTTAAGAAAAACTACGTTGTTTAAGGAACTACCGACGAAAACCTAAGTTGGGACTGTCCTTGTGACAGAGTGCATTTAAATACCCAACATTTTTATTATCTGTCCTAAATATTTATGGATTGGTGGAGCAAATGCGTTTGATTTTGTAGACGGTCGTTATACCGACTACATAGATCGCTGATGGTCGCTAGCATGTTTATGCCGGCATGAGATTTGTAGAGATTTCGGGCTTTTATGAACATGGTCTCAAAAATTTCGGGTTGCCATTCCAGGTTTACTTATCTATCAATCATGATCGTCATTATTAACAGGTACTTCGATGTCTTCTGGCTCTAGATAGCACGGAATTAAGCCATATCGATAGTAATAAAGAATAAAGATTCTTAGCACCAAGGATATCAGAACCATGGTTTCAGTATATTCAACATTCCCTACAGTCAGTCGAACACTGTGAACCTTCATCGGTAAACTCCGTGTTCAGCCATGCATATCTGAACACTATTCAGTTATCATGTCTCAAAACGTCGGTTCATTTTATTCTTTGAGCTGCCATATCAGCTGCTACTCACAAGGGTGAAATCATTAGGATACGTGTGTTAGGATTCCCTGTGTTAAGTACTAATTCAGTTCACTTCGGCCTATTTGGCAGTCGTGAAGACAGTCCGTGGTTGCGATCACTCGATACTAGCGTCTTGAACGGAAAGGTTATTTGCCTACCACTGTGTTTTGTCGGAAACGCCGACTGGCTCCAGCCAGTTGGAGCTGTTTGTCCACAACCTGACGAAACGGAGCTAGCGGTAAGCGCAGTTAATCTCGAGGCAGCTCAGTGGTTAAGGCGCCAGCTTCCGGACCGGAAGGTCCGTGGTTCGAACCCGACCCCAGCATCTCGACTGTCCCTGTCTAGACTTGGGTAACCTGGCCGTATCACATCTTTTATGCCTCTTTCCGTTGGCACGGCAGCAGGTACCGAAAACATGCTACAGTTGAGCGATTATTATTATTGTTATTTTAGCCTAAAAATCCAACCATTCTTAGGCGCCGAGTTCCTTCTAACTGTTATTTTGACCTCAAGGGACCCGGCTTAAAGTGCTGTGGCCGGGTCCAACTACTGTGGAATTTCCAAGGATGAGCTCCAGATATGACGTCTCTCTGCAGTTTGAAGTATGCTTTTCAGTAGTACGAACTTCTGAACGATTCATTTGGTTCAGCTCATTTCAGTTTTGCAGCTCAAAAACCGTGCATTGAAATGCAGTGATTCCAAATGCTACAGCATGGTTCACTGAGGATAGGGAGAATAAGGGGGCGATGACCCACTTAGTTCATTGACGTCGGACGTTTCTGTTTGTCTGATGTGACAGGGATCGAGAACTACGTAGTGACGCAAGACGCCACTGGCTGCGTGGCGTAGCCATATCTGTCGGGGTCACTGAACATTGGTTCGTCTTGTCTCGCGGTTACAGTCCGAGGGGACGGCTTTTACCAAAGCGACTTGTTTGACTTCGTTGCCAGATCATGGACTGATCACCCCTGTGTCATCTTCGCCCGACACAAGACTGGGCGAGAAGGGTGGCGCGAGGCAAACGGTCGTCTGGCGTACAAATTACATGAAGTGTGGCCAGCACACACGGGTTCCTGTCGTAATTTCGGCTTATCGCCGTCCAATCACGAATGCACACTGAATACATCATCGGCTACGAGAATGGATATCAGCGAATGTGATGGCGCTATGCTGGGTGTAATTAGGGCGATTTTCTCTTTCGAAAGGTTTTAGTCTTGATTCTATTGAGGCCAGTCAGCCTTAAGAGTCAAACCGTTAGCATAGCCGTTACGGCTTCGTTTGTCCGGGACGCGGTGGGCCATATAAGCTTGTTTTGTCATGCACCTTGTCCAATAATGATCCGTTCACCCTTTTGTAGCATAGCTGCCATGCTGCCAAAAAGAAGTAGCTTTTTTTAGCAAAACTCTGCCGATCATAGAAAAACGTCGAAACCTTTTATGATTTGTGTTCGAATGCATATATCAGTGTGTATATGGGCTTCTGCTGTTAGGCTTTATAGATGTGTTATATCGGGTGTGAGCACATCATTTTTGGCATCAGCTTTACGGAATCTCACACACTGTGTCCTAAATAACTCCTTCAACCTTCTTATCAGGTCCCTGTTATGGATGATTTGCTGCCTGATAGACACAGGCGTCGTGGACCCCCAGCGAAACTTGGAAGTCCAGAGCAACCGAAGTTGTGCACTGAACCTCGGAGACGCCACTCAACACCTCCTTGTAGACTCAAAACAATACGACCCGCGAGCACTGTTGGAGCTTCACAGTTACTGCGTGTTGGACGTCCACATACTCATCGAATATTGAAACGGACGCATCCCAACCGATGTTCTGAACGGCATTTACGCAGCTCAGCCAAACGGATAAAATTTTCTTCCGTGGAGGATCGGTACACCAGACGACCGAGACGTCCAAATCGCCGTTATTTTGAGCTTGACTTTTTTAACCCTTCAATGGGTGAATCACGAGATGAGCAATCGAAGGACAGTGATCGTACTGACGATTTGTCTGCTGACAAGATTAACCGTGGTTGGGATGAGGAAGCTATCCTCAAATTTCCTGATATTTTCTGTGAGCAGTTTTTCTCTTGCAGTGATTTACAACTTTCTATTTTTATTTTTTATGTTGGATACTAGTAGTCCCTCCGGTAACACCATTGGTGTATTCTTGACTTTTATCAGAAGTAAGCTTTAGTGTGCCCTTACTGCTGATCAGGATGAACAGACTACTCGTTACCACATGGTGGCTATCTCCGATTATACAGTAAGCCGGCAATACTCACATCTAAACTCGTACTACCTAAGTTCAGCTTTCGAAATTGGAGTTGTTGCATGTATTGATCAAATCTTCATTCCATCGACTCCTCCGATGTTACGCTAGTACGACCTCCAGGTGCTTTTCATTTGATCCCACTTCTTCGGTCATCCTCAGGGTTTCGAAGGAAGAATGACCGTTTGGGTTGCCTAAGATCCTGTGTGAAGTGTGTGAGTGTTGAGTTCTCTCCCTGGCGTTGTCCCGTTGAAGATGAGATTTACTCGCCAGGTTTACATTTTCTGACGATTCCTTATAGGCAGATGGGTCTTATTGTCGCCTGGTACCTTCGAACCGTAGGTATTATGAAACACTGGCACTGTCAAATCAACCATTAATTCCAAATGGTATCTGAGGTTGTGAGTTGTATGTTCGGACACAGGGGCCTATCGTTTCCTCCGATTCAATCTTGTTTATCAACTACAAACCGTGTGCAAAGTCGTCATCTTGTCGCGGTGGTCGGGCTTCTACGCTGCAATGATCCTGCGGGCTATACTGGCTGGAACTCAGTTCTTGGACGTTCACACAGCGATTCTGCTTTCCCCTGAGGAAAAACGGGTTAGAAAAGGTCGGCCCCGAAAACCGCACACTCTGATCGCTCAGCGGTTGACCGTGACCGCTGGTCAAAGTCTGATGCTGCTCAAAATGCACCTGCTGTGCTCAGCTGCATGAGTAGTGAGACAGTAATGTTCTACTCCCTGTGCCCTCGGGCCAGGACGGTCTCACATTGCCAAGTAGGTCAGACTATTGACTTATTGGCTCCGGGAAGGCTCCCTCGAGAAAACCCTAACAACCGCGGTTCATACTCTTAAGTCAGAGACTAGGGGGAAAGGTCCCCGAACATAACTCACTGCCTTGTAGATCAGACTTTTGAGTCAAAGGCTCAGGTGGGGTACCTCAACTAGACCCCCTTCTTTGGCCTGCGCAACCGGGAAGTATCATTTGCCCTTGCAGCTCTTCACTCACCGGCCTTCCCCCACACTCCCCACTCATTGTACAATCGTTTTCCTTAAGTTATCGGTACTTGCACACGACCCGGGTGGTCGAGTGAACAAATTCTTGGAGTATCCTTTTGATAGCTCTGGTTTTATCCCTCACTACCCCCGCTCGCACTGGTCGTTGGTTTCCGCCCTGATTTGCTACATTGTGGATATTGTTATTTTTGTGTTTGGAGGAAGACAAACATTCACTTACTTCATGCGAAGCCATTCATACAGATCAGTCAAGCGATAACAGTCCACCGTGTTCTCTGTCTTCTAACATTAGAATGAGACATGCGGCCCTTAGACTTCCTTAGACGAGCATGTTTGCAATTTTCAACTTGTTGAGGGCAGGAAGAGTGTGCCGTGGTTTCTTCCGTAAATACTTCCACTTCAATGTAGCTTTGATATTCTATCCTTTTTATTCTGCTTCTTTAGTGAAAAGAGCGACTGTGGTTGTCGTTCCGTGTGATCTAAACCAGAGTCAGTCCCGCATGCCACGCCCGTCTCTCCGCCGTTCGTCCAAACCGGAAAGTACTCCCTCCTCCGCAGTAAATGGATTTCCCGAAAAGACCGACACACAAAAGTGGGTGGAAAAACTATTTTCGGAACTGTGCCACAGCAATTCCGCCCGTCCATTGTTACGGTGTGGCGTAGGTCGCCAAATCACCCTTATGGACCAAAAAGATCGTCGGGTTGCCGAACTACCCAACAGTCGTAGGCACTCGGATCGTGTCAGGGTAGCAAGTCACCGCCTCTGTTCAACCAACAGCCCTCAAACAGTCAAAAGCTCGGAGAAGCTCTTGGCTTGGGATCTTTCATCATTGCAGGAATTGTTAGTTCGACAGGATTTACCAGGTGGTCCTGAACAAGCGATCGATCAGCTCAAGTTAGTTTTCTACATGTTACTTTTGTACACATGCTGATTGGCAATCATTCTCGACCACAAGTTGATTTAGACGGCGTTCTCTTTCGGTACAGATTTCCAGTAAGATTCCTTGAGCATACCATGGAGATAGACGTAGCCTTGAGAAAGCCGAATAAACATAGTGTTTAGGTATCTAATACGGAAACTGAATTCACGCGTAGGTTTGACAATCCCCAATATCAAGAGGAAGCATTAAGTTTAAAAACCTCTGGTAAGCAAAATTACACAAGAAACCGCAATTGTCCTCCCTCATGGCATCAACATATGCACAAGTCTGTCATTGACCGGCACACTGCAGTGTCAACGTCCGCACATCAAACAACGGCCAGTGAAATGTTTGCTCAGTAGTGTGGGTTGTAGTCATCCTTTCCGACGATATTCTCGTGGTTCTCATTGGCGGTGCGATCACACGGAACTCATGAGGAAACAAGTCAAGGCAGGTTCAGCAAGCGGGACAGGAATGCGCATGGGTAACTGGGTCAGGTGCGCACGGACACATGCTAATACACAAGTATGGCAGTGAAGCATCGGTGTTGAGCACTGATGTCATACTGTCGATGGTGATGATGATGACAAGTACCGGGCAGGTGTATCTCTGCGGCCTGGTGAATGGCTGACAGAGGAGCAAAATGAGCGCATGTACAAAGCACTCAAACGAATGGGGGATTATCGTGAGGTCAAGTTCGATTCAGCACACAATAAGGTGTAATATGACATACCTTACAAGCAGCCTTTCTGGTCTGCGGTGTGATAATCAGTTATTTGTGACCAGTACCCCCGGACGCTGAATTTCACTTCTTAAAACCGTACACTAGTTCAAGCCATTATTCAGTTACATCTGTACCAGCTCGAACTGGGCGCCTGCATGGACAGAGAGGCGTGGTAAATCCAGAAAATTTAGTAAGTCAGGAGCGGGGGGCGTTATGCGGTGAGAAATACAGTTAGCGCGGCCGCATTAGGAGTGAGACACCAATGCTCTACTCTCTGCGCGCTCGAGTTAGGTCAACCCCCTGCAACCGACCAGGTCAGACTATTGGGTCATCGGCTCGGGGTAGGGTTCCGAAAGAGAACTCAACTGTTCGGGGGTTAGACTTTTGAGTCAGAGGCTAGGGCCAGAGTCCCCAAACAAAATTCCCTATCCTGCCACTGCCTTGTGCGTCAGACTTTTGAGTTATAGGCTCAAAGTGGGGTCCTTCAACCAAACCCACTTCTTCGGCCTGGGCAACCGGGAAGTATCATTTGCCTTCACAGCTTTGTGTCCGCCGATGTCCTTCCCACCACACAAACAAACGTCGCTGGGTCATTTGACTGTTAGTTATCTGACCGAGGGGCCTTATGCTCCCCGCTGCATATTAGTAAGCAAACTAATACCGTACTGAATCCACGAGGTCTTTTCCACATGAGAGCTTTTGACGTCCAAGGTCTGTGCTTAAGCGTGATGTATTTTATAAGCACTACTTCAGAATTTACCATCCTTTTGCTCTTATCTCAAACTTTAGAATAAGCAGTTAGACTGTTCGCACATCTTGGTTGTTGCTTATGCCGTGGCCGTACCATAATTGTCCCAAATGAAGCCAGAATCAAGCAGGACTGTGCAGCTTGCTAGCTGGTGAACCATTTGAACCATTAAAAACCCACGATCATTTAATTCATGCATTACTCATATTTCGCTGGATGTACCAAGTTGCACATGACTGCCTACATCCTGTCACTTCCCATACTATTTGACATTGTTCCATTGATTCATCCTATCCTTACTTTCGATCAGGCACCACACCTGACAGTAGTCTGCAGCGTACGTTGTCTTGAGATCTCCCTGTTCCCTTCCACCGTAAGGTACAACCTCGATTTTTAGTGACAACCTGGCTGGTGAAGTAGCAGTCGTAGCATAGACGGCCTACATTCAACCACAGGCTGATAGCCACATGTCAAGGATCTATTGATCTATGGACACAGTTGGGGGCATAATCGCGGATGAAATTTCTGGTCCCTTTAGACTTGTTTTGTCTCTGTTTGATTGTTCCTCTGTGGCGCTCAATTGTCCCTTGTTTAATTTCTGGTGGATTTTCTAGTATTCGGAATCCACTTGCGAAATTTCGGCGATGTTTGCCGGTCGAGGCCTTATCGAAGATGCTTATTAGTAAAAATAATTACCTTCACTATGTTTTTTAGTCTAGGGGCGATGAGTTGAGGGTGAGGAAAAGCCGCTCTTTCTGCACTATTGAAAGTCGGAAGTCGTCCAATCTTTCAATAGCCGAGCAGTTTCCTTGAACTTCCTTCTTAACATGGATTACCGTGTCTGTGCATCGCTCCATTTCGATCAAACCCATTTCATATTGAATTTCTCACACTTATTAATGTAATACGATGAAATGAATGTCCATAGTGTCCGCCACCTCATGTCATCTTGGACAGCACAAACAAAGCATTTTCATGCCACCTAACGAAGTGTGAACGAGAGCCACGTGACCACATTACAATGCAACGAAATTAATGGAAGGCGGTTAGAAATTCTTCAGCGTCTAACTTCCTATCATGCTTCCTATTCCGTTCTAACTTCGCTACTTTAAGTTCGTATTCTACCGTAACGATTAGTACCCTGTGCGTGACCTAGGCCTAACCCTCAGTCAGTCCAACTTGTCACGAAGAACCTCTTGGGGCGGTGAGCTAGTGCGCCAGGAGGGTTGTTTCCTCAAGAACCAATTCCTTGCCGTAATATTGTCTTCCTGATAATTCCTAATGTGATGTGCTGTTGCGCAGGGAATTTTATCCTATACGGTTAGGCGGGCGAGATGGCTCAATTGGTTACAGCGCGAATTTACTGACCGGAAGGTCCATGGTTCGGACCCGACTTCCCTTATCTAGACTTGGGCGACCTGACGGCATCCCAGCCCTCGTGCTTCCTTCGGGTGGCATGGTAGCTAGGCACCGAAAGGGCGCTACAGCTGAACGATTATTATTATACGGTTAGGAATTGAACTCTGAGGTCACTCTATACAAGTAATTCCATTAACATTAGTTGGCTGTAATAACTTATGAGACGACATGTCACGAGGACTACTGTCATCCGTCCTGCTAATTCCTGTCTCTGCTTTTCTTCGTGTAGATTGCTGATTTCCCATTGGTTGGCTTCCAATCGTCCCGGGAGTCGCTTGCATCAGTGTGCCTTAGATTTATCTGATCAGCTTGACGCGAAACTGAGTGCATTCAAGCAACAAAGTGAACCTAGTCCTAGTAACGCATCATCTGGTTAAAAAAATCCCGCACATTTGATCTCATTTCTCTTTTATTTTTTGGCTTCAAGGCTCACCTGTACAGTGTAAATTGCTAAATGTATACAGATTTTTGTAACTCTTGCGTTATTTTGATATATGCTTGATCCGATGTCGTTTGTTAATGCAACCACGATAAGTATAGTTTTTTCCACTGAGAATATTTTTGTACGTTATTTTTTCTGAGCAGACGATCGTTTTTGCACAAAGAAGAACTGTAGTCCTGTTTTTAATTGTCTGCTTTAATGAAATTTCGTTTCGGAGGTGTGCCCAAAGATCATCCTACCTCATCTGCGTCGAAGATACGAGCTAGGTTATAGCCCTCCAACACGTGCGTGGGTCGGTCCTTCCAGGGTTCACTGTGAGCAAAAGTAATCACAAAGGCGGCAATCGCGATTTATTGTATCTAGCTATGCTGCCCGTACGATGACATCACCAAGACCCTTATTGATTTCGCTTTTTAGTCGAGAAGTCACCGGCGAAATCTTGTGTTGTCTGCACTGGGACTCATTTAAACGACCTACGTGCTCCCGATCAGCAGTCGGTCTGGTCACAATAAGTTCAAAACATCAGTCTAAGGGATCCTACAAGGTGCCTGCTGTTATGTTGGTTTGATCAATGCTGTACCATTACACCTGCACAACACGCAGTCCCACGCCCGAATTTCAAATATATTACGATGTACACGGTGCCTGTTCTGCAGGTATATAACGGTCACCCGCACCCTTTTCGATGCAAGCCATCATAATGAGCAGTTTATATTGGACTGCCACATGTAGAAACAATTTCGGTCTTCTTAGTGATCTTAGTGATCTTCTTAGTTCCTGTCGGTGCTACTCGCCTTCCAGGGTGGGGACCGCGTGATCCTCACTGTGCCTGGTTGGAGACACTACAAGATATGGCTGCCAACCGATGTCAGTGGCGTTCTTGTTGTCAGTTTCTGTCCAGATTGCCTGAGTGAGTGTCTGGAGGTGTAGGCACCTCGGAATGATTGTGTTAAGCTAGCACTAAGTCCCTCCCCCATCCACCTTTATTCTTTTCTTTACAATAAGGCTTTCAAATAAGTCATGGTTGTACGGCAGTGAAGCATCGGTGTTGAACACTGATGTCATGCTGTCGTTGATGATGTTGATGATCTTAGTGATACCAACGAGTTATTTTTGGAGCTGGAGTCGACGTAGAAATCAGGGCAATGTGTAATATATTTTCACAGCGGCCACCAACTGGACCTCGCCAAAGCAACCAGTCCTCAAGAGGAGTGTTGCAGAGAGCACTGCTGTTCACAGCTTCTGCTTGGACCAGCTGCCCTCAGAAATAATGATGGAGCTAGTTGAGTTGCGTTACCGATTGTCATGAGAAATGTGACAGCTCACTTTATAAGGGAGCACACGAGAAATCTGGCAGAACAGATCGAAGGCAACTAGAACGTTGTTCACCCCGCAGTGAGTTGATTAATGCGATGGACATGCTACAGAATACACCAGGAGCTGTAATATAAAAGATCACACTGGTGGGCGTGGTAAAATGGCAATAAGTATGGGTGTCCTTATCTTGCTCACCACACAGCCACAGATTTCCAAGTGCATACTGTAGGCAGTACAATTTTTGACGTGATGTCATTCGTACGGTTGGAACACAGAAATGATGGAGCTTGCTTACGATTCAAAAGGGTCATGTTCCGTCCCGGGATTTAGTGGAAAGCTGACGGATATGTTGGTCTTTTGGGATCGATGAATTTATACGCAAATCTTTTCAACAAAGTATGTCCAGGGTTTTCAGCCAACCTCGTGAGTAGTTTCCTTTATGAAAAAGTGTGTTTTCTGTTACTTTTCCTCTTCTGTCTGGTTAGGCCTTGCATGTTCACCAATTACTCTAGGCTCGTTGAAAATATCCGATTAGACTAGTAGAATACCGTTGGAAAGAAAGCCCCTTAAGACCCTGGGAACTGCTTTTTAGATTGATTGAACAATTCAGTTTATGGTAAATCTTTACCGCAGCAAACTTCCAGATAATTTAAATGAGGATATTTCCCTTGGAAACAAACATAGTCATCGCCAGAGATAGCAACATCATTGTCGATTTCGATGCTTCATTGCCGTTCGGTCACAAAGTTTGTCTAATAGTTAGAAAATTGGTGAAAAGGGGAGATCGGGTGAGGGAAGGGACCTAGTGTTAACCAATCGCAAGCATTCTGACGTGCCTACACCTCTAAGCGTTCAATCAGAAAGTGACAGAGTGAACACCACCGGCATCGATCCGCCGCCTTTTCTTCGAATGTAGTCAAATGCATGAGGGGTCGCGGGGACCACATCTTGGAGGGCAGACCGCAACAACTCGTAGTATCTTTCATATCTTCCTGCCGGGTCAAACTTTGTCCATCTCGTGGTTCGCGCCATTCTGAATGTGGTACAGAGAATACGACTTGTCCCGGTAGACGATATTTTGGGCATGCATAGCGAATGATTGAGTCACCGCAGCTGATGGTGCTGGATATTTACGGCGACCCACCGCACAACCAAAACCCCGTTTTATAATTACCTCGCTGCGAATTCGTTGACGCCATCAGCACTTCTCAGGCATCGAAAGTCAAAACTTGAAGATGCCTTACACCATCTATCCTGAGAGGCCACCTCTCACAATCAACAATTCAGGCCTTTAGCTTGGGACGTGCGACCCTGGAAGCCCAGCGATATGCCTTTTGACGCCACAAGTGACGTTTGTAACAGTCACTGATCTGTAGAATCGAGAGCCTACTTGAAGCCAACATGCACCAAGACTGGCATTCGTCAATAAATATGACGTTGCTCTAACACCTGATAGTGTGTGAATAGTTGGTCGACGCAGCCTCTATTTGATCGAGATATCGCTTCACGTTCACGCAAAACCGTTTTTAAGATGAAGAATCTGGTGTCAAAAGTTCGGTTACAACGGAAGTCAAGGTGACGCCTCTGTGGTCATTACTCACTACAAGTATCTTTTTTAAGGTGGATACTGTTATCAACCCATACTGTTCTTGGACGGTGTGTTTCTCCTCAACAGACACAAATAGGCTGGAACGGCACAGACAGAGGAATCCTCTGCCGTCCACCACAGATAGGAGACCGTTAGGACCAGGAGCACGATGTCACTTCTCCGGCTAGGGGAGGTTCCATGCTCACAATCCACCTTTGTTAAATTCCTGGAACTCGGATTGAAGGTAGCAGGGAATCAACTGAAGTGCCATGCCCAACGAGCCATCTTGGTACTTGATGGTTTCGCCAACACGAGGCTTCCGAGGATGAACGAATCATTTTGAGCAACCTTGCTGATGACAGCGTGACGGCTGTTGTGGTATGATAATATGTTTGGTTGTGCGCAGGATGGGATACTGTCAGAGCTCCTTCATCTAAACTGGTGGGTGATAAGGGTCTTCAGCCAAAGCCCTTGGCTCAAAAGCCTGACCGCAAAGCGATGGGGGGATGCCGGGAAACTACTACAGTACTGTAGGCTTTTCAAGGGAAAGGTGGTTATGACTGTCCTAATCTCCAGCCTGGAGGACCAGAAGGCTGTGTTTATCAGACCTCTATCCATTAAGCATCCTGGTAAGAAATACTATGTTAATCTGAAACCCCTTAGTATAGTTCATTGCGTCGAAAGGGTACAGACACCGCGATAAGGTTTAGTCTCTACAGTGGTGGAACGAACAAGATTCTTCTACAAATGACACTTCTTGTAAGATCGATGAGAACTCTTGGCGGAACATAGATCATTACTGTTATATCTGCTGATTCGCCGATCTGTAGTATTTGCTGCTGACCCGCTCCAGTGCCTAATGCCGGAAAAAGGACTCACAGAAGGGAACACAACAGCTGTATTCCGAACAAGCGAATGTGAGAGCAAAAGCTGCAACGGACCCACGCTATTTAAAGGGGACTTTCTGACATAGATCCAGACTGTCTGCTAGGCGTTAGTGAACACCCATCAACATCGATCGTGCCTCTATTAGATGCCTGAACGCTGATCACATTCGATCGTGCTTCTGTGGCGTGCATGAACATTCATCAGCTTTTGCTGATTTGATTGAATGATTGACCGGCCTGGATGCTTGCTGGCTTTCCTGTTGAGATTTTGGTGGAGCAGTAGGTTTCCGGCGTTCTGAGGTTACATTCAGGAATTTGACCTTCCTGATAATTTCCGCTGAGACAGGTTGACGTATCACATAGACTTATACCGAAGCTAGTAGGATATGCATCCAGTTCTAACCTGTACTTAGGCCTACCAGAGTACTGCAATTATCACGCTACACCGCTAATGCTGCGTGATTATTTTTGGTTTTATTGTGTGCTGAAACAAGCTTACTTCAACCTAGAAAAACCTCCCAATGCTCTGGGATAATGAAGCAACCGTGCGGGTCACACCAATCGTTTATTAAATCTTTGTGGCGGCATCCGTTGTTTCTTTTTTTCTTGTAAAGTAATTCAACCTTCTAGGTGGTTGTAAGTGTCAGGTGCATCTTCTCTGCTCACTATGCGGTGTTTCTATGCTAGCACTTTTTTTGAGGATGGATTTCAATGCCGCGGATATTTTCTCGACAAAAATGTCTGGAATTCCAATGGCGTGGGGGAGTCGCTTCACAATACTACACACGGGATACTGGGAACGTGGAAACCTAAAAGCTAACAGGATATTTGTAAGTATACCTAGGTGGTACGAGGGGTTCATCAAGTAATAGTGTTGAGGACAATAAAATGAGAACTGTCAGTGTTTCTGTGAAGCGCTTTAAGTGCAAGTAGTTTCATCCTGGTGATCACGCCTTCATTATTTTCCGCATCGGCCATCACTGTTCCGGAAGGTACTTGTTACAATCATTTGCTTCTAAAGTTCATTAGCTTGAGCAATTGCGATCAACACGCTTTCGAAGACTTGTGGACTCAAATCCTGCTCGTTTCAAGGTTCTACAAAAAGTTGGTGGAGTCGGATTGTATGCTGATGAGTACGAACGAATGTCAGTTGTGTTCACCGTTTATTTTTGGAATAAACAGCTTGATTTTTTGCATTCAGTGGTTGTGTAGAAAAACGTACGTCGTTTTAATTCTTATGCCGGATTGTCATCTAAGTTCCACTTCATCCGGTAAATTATCTTTCACATAGACTAGCCGTCCTCAGGGATTCTGGGAGCACAACCGTGTCATAAAAACATCCGTCGCA